GTACGAGGCTCTCGACAGAGGGATAGTAGATCATTAATTTCATTACAAAATGGCACCCAACTCTGGGGCCCTCCTTCTAGCAGTCTATGTACTTAGGGTTCTCCACTAATTTAATAGGAAGATTTCAGTTTCTTGGATTCGGAATGTAGTATCAAATAAGGCTATTAGAGCTATTTGGCTAACCAACCATCGAAATTGTTCGAGTTGTGGAATAAGTTCAATATAACGTTTATACGTAAACTTACCCTTCTCTACTTTCTATCAGATACATAACTTTTTATATTACATTTTTTTATTTATCATGTTTTGCGTTTAGATTTGGAATTATGAGAATTAGTTTTACCGATTTCATAACCAGTCACAGCGGCAAAATAATCTTCATAGGGGATAATGAATTCAGTAATGTGGAATTATCATTTTCTTTCGAAATTAGGTACCCATTACGCAGAGTTTAATTTAAGGCAAAATTACACATAATTTTGATTTTCTTTACAATGGAAGTGCCACGTCGAACTGGCCCTTTTTCAAGCGAAGGCTAATAAAAATCATACTCACTACCCTTACTTATATAAAACTATTTTAAACGCTAAACTAAAGTTTATCTCTTGTAAATACAAATGTATAAGTTAATCTTGATTAGTTGTTAAGAATACGAAATATAATGGCGGTACGTCATAGCGCAGAAAACTTGGCGAATTTAAGCACTCGACAAGCACTATGTACGATATGTAATGAAAAAAAGACTGAAGGCAATGTTTGTACAACCCCTTGTCAGCATTCATTTCATCAGTCCTGTATAAATAGATGGTTAACAGAAAACGATGCGTGTCCTTTATGTAGAAGCTCGTGTGTTAGTCAATCTTTAAAGAGTTTCGCAAAGCAAGATCCCGCTACTTTAGATGCACCTGTCAGTAAGGGCGCAGTACCAAGAACAGAAGGTCGAATGAAAAGGTCTAGAACAAATGTTAACGATGTGGTTTCGGGTAATCTCGTGTCTTATAATAGTAATTGGAGAGGTAGAAGCCGGGGAGTAAGTCAGTTACCTTCTCTACGGCCAAATTCTGGTCAGAATGTTGGTGCTAATAATATACAAACTATGATAGAAGAGACCTTTAGATCATATGAAGAGCGTTCTGCCAGGCAAATGAGGGAAGAAATCAATAGGATCGTAACAGATTCGTTAAGAAATTACTTTAGCAACCTTAATCTGAACAGATCTAATAATGAAAATATCGAAAGAAGATTAGGAGCCGATAATAGCGTGATATCCGGTCAGGAGAGGGGTTCGAATTTCGAACGGTCTCGTACATATGCAGAAGCCGTATCTTCATTGGCAGCAGCGAAAATCATATCTGGCTGGAAAATATGTTTTAATTGCTCACTGGACGGTATTACAGTAGACGAATTTATATACAGAGTTAATGCGTTGACACGCTCAACTTTACATGGTGATTTTGTCACGTTGTGCCAAAACGTTCATGTACTATTTGAAGGCAAAGCAAAGCGGTGGTTCTGGCGTTACCATCGTTCTACCAATGTACTTGATTGGCTGGACATCTGTGAGGATATGCGTAGATACTTCAAAGATTTCAGAAAACAAAAGAGTATTGAATCTTTCAAAACCTATCTCGATTCTGTTATGAACATCGCAGATGGTTTACGTAGCCCTATGATGGAACGTGAAATCGTAGAGACTATTATTCGAAATTTACAATCTAATATCCGATTGGAACTGCTTCATCTTGATATTCAAACAATATCTGATCTTCGAAGAGCCTGTCGAAAACGGGAAAACCTTTTTGCCGAAATTCAGGGTAAATCTCAACAAGAGAGACAAGTTCAAGGGCGGAGAAGAGAACTTTCTGAAATAGAAATGCTAGAGATGATTCCCAAGGAAGAAGTCTCAACAATACAGGACAAACTCTCATCAAACCGAACTGAATCAAAACAATGCTGGAAATGCGATGAAACGGGTCACAGTTATAAAAGTTGCGTCAAGCAAAGTTGTGTATTTTGCTACGGATGTGGGCTCATTGCCTCTTTCCTACCCAATTGTCCGAGATGTAACGATCCGGAATACAGGGTCAGCGATGTCGTCGACAGGAACAGGCATCCCAATCGCCAACCAGAACAAAAAATATAAATATTCCTGTAAGAATTCTGAAAAAAGAAGAAAATGCACCACCCTATGTACCGCAATTATATCCCCTAAAGCCATTACATGAACGACTAAATTTTTATCGACAAACACGGAAGAGGACTTTTCAACGAACGCGATCAGCGGAAAGAGCTCATAAGTTTTGGTCGACCATTAAGTCAAAGCAAAAAAATTTGAAGTCCCTTTCACAGATCTGTCAAAAACCTAACGATCTTAGACCGTATGCTTCTGTTAAAATTTTAAATAAAACTTATTTGGGCTTATTGGATTCAGGTGCCTCAGTAAGTTGTATAGGCGGTGATTTTGCAAGCGAACTGCTAGCCGAAGACCGTGGAGTTAAGCCATTAAAGTCATTTGTGCAAAAAAGCTAGCGGGTCAAAACAGCACGTTGTAGGAATTAAAAAAACTGATTGTAACTTACAAATCAGTTTCTCATGATCTTGAATTCTATATAATACCTTCCCTAGTTCAAAACCTTTACCTCGGAATAGATTTTTGGAAAATCTTCCAAATTGCCACAGATGTCATTAGCGAAGTTGAGTCAAACGAACCAGATGTAAACCAACACAGCTTAACCTATCAGCAGCAATGTATACTAAATTCGGCAATTTCATGTTTTCCGAAGTTCGAAGTGCATGAGATCGGGAAAACCTCACTTTTGCAGCATGTCATCGATGTAGGCAATGCCAAACCCATTAAACAACGTCGTTTTCCAGTTTCACCGGCGGTGGAAAAACTTATGTGTGACGAAATCGATCGTATGATATCCCTTGGAGTTATAGAAGAATCCAAAAGTCCTTGGTCTTCGCCAGTAGTTTTGGTCCGCAAGCCAGGGAAAGTACGATTGTTTTTAGATAGTAGAAAAGTAAACACTTTAACGGTGAAGGATGCATATCCTCTGCCTCACATCGAAGGTATATTGTCCAGACTGCCACGAGCAGAATTCATTTCAAGTCTGGATTTGAAAGATGCCTTTTGGCAAATCCCGCTAGAGAAGAATTCTCGTGAAAAAACTGCCTTCACAATTCCAAATCGGCCACTGTATCAATTCACCGTAATGCCGTTCGGGTTGTGTAATGCGCCTCAAACGATGTGTCGGTTAATGGATCTTGTCATTCCATACTACCTGTAGGAGAAGATTTATTATTGATATCCGAGAGCTTTGAATCGCACGTTGAGCTACTCAAAGAAGTTGCAGATCACATCCGAAAAGCTTGTCTAACAATAAACATTACGAAAAGCAAATTTTTCTTAAAGGAAGTCAAATATCTTGGTTATGTTGTGGGACAGGGCACTTTGAAAACTGATAAAGGAAAAATTTCAGCGATAACAGAGTATCCAGTACCAAGAACTGTAAAGCAGCTCCGTAGATTTTTAGGTATGGTAGGATGGTATAGACGAATTTTAGCCAATTTCGCTGAAGTATCTAATCCGTTAACAGAACTTCTGAAGAAATCTAGGTCTTTTATCTGGTCTGACAAAGCACAGCGATCCTTTGACGAAATTAAACACCAACTCACAACCGCTCCGTTCCTGGCTAATCCGAACTTTAGCAAATCGTTTGTTATACAATGCGATGCAAGTCAACACGGTGAATGAGCTGTACTAGCGCAAGAAAATGACGAAGGCGTAGAAATCCAAATTGCATATATGTCTCAAAAGTTAAACAAGGCTCAACAAAACTACTCAGTGACAGAGCGTGAATGTTTGGCAGCAGTGTTGGCAATAAAAAAATTTCGAGCTTACGTGGAGGGACAAGAATTTACTATAATCACAGATCACGCGAGCCTACGATGGTTGATGAACCAAAGCGACTTGAGTGGACGGTTTGGCTCGTTGGGTTTTAAAGTTTCAAGGGTATAAATTTTTGATTCAGCACAGAAAAGGCAGTGCAAATGTTGTTCCAGACGCACTTTCTCGCTGCCACGACAAACGTGAATTGCTTGAAACCATCATAGTCGATTATGTTCCTGAAATTGATTTATCATCATCAGCGTTTACCGAGCAAGAATATGTAGAGTTGAAGGAAAAATTATTGAAGATCGCAACTAAATATCCTGATTTTAAAGTTACTGGAAATTTTATTTTTCATCGGACTGAGTTTTCTTCCGGAGACCCAAGTAAAGATGATTCGTCATGGAAACTGGTTGTTCCAAAATCACTACAGACAGAGGTTATTAAATATGCTCATGATGTACCGACTAGTGCCCATGGTAGCTTGGCCAAAACTGTGGAAAGAGTTCGTCGCAACTTCTACTGGCCTGGCGTATATTGCTCAGTGAAAGAGTACGTCATGAATTGTCAAGTATGCAAGATGACAAAACATCCAACAAAAGTTCTTCGTCCACCGATGGGAAAAATTATACCAATAGAAAGAATTTTTCAGCGGTTATACATCGAATTAATAGGCCCCTTTCCTAGGTCGAAAAATGGACACATAGGTATTTTAATTGTTTTAGACCATATGTCAAAATTTACATTTTTAAGCCCTTTGAAAAAGCTCACCACCGAACCAATTAAAACATTTCCCAAAGGACAAGTATTTGACGTGCTTGGCGTACCAGAAAGTATCGTGAGCGACAATTGCATTCAATTCCGATCAAAGGATTTTGAGGCATTTTTAACCAAATGCGGTGTCAAACATATATTCACGGCTGTGTACTCTCCCCAGAGCAACGCTTCGGAGCGCGTGAATCGTTCCATAAATGCTGCTCTGAGAGCTTATATTCAATAAGATCAGCGAGATTGGGATTGCCACCTCAGCAGTATAAACGCGGCACTTCGCAGTTCTGTCCACCAATCTATAGGATATTGTCCTTATTTTGTCGTATTTGGTCAGCATATGGTATTACATGGGGACACCTACGCAGTTTTGCGAAATATTGACATGATCACCGAAGGCGTAACAGAAGAAAGTCTAGCGCGTTCCGACAAACTTTTAAGTACACGCGATAATATTCGTGGATATTTGGAGAAGGCCCATTATCGCAATGAACATCGTTATAACCTGAGAACTCTAGAAATAAAATACAATGTTGGTCAAGAGGTTTTACGCAAAAACTTTGCTCATAGTAACATGGCAAAACATTTTAATGCAAAGCTGGCAAAAACTTTCCTTAAAGCCAGAGTGCGAGAGATATTAAGTTCTTCTTATTACTCATTAGAAGATTTGGAAGGTAAAAGTATAGGCACATATGATGCAAAAGACATGCAACCCTGTTAAACATGTCGCCTTTTTCAGATTTCCTTTAAATGTAATCCTAGTAAAATTTAAAGAAAACCTGCGTTGTGAGTGTGAATAATAAATATAACAATTTTTTTTTATTGTCTTGAATTATGTCAAAGTATTAACTATTATATAAAAAAAAAAAAAATTTTTTTGCTTTCAAAACAAATAAAAGCAGTTAAGCCCTAATAAATTAAATAAGTCTTTCTCCAGATCTACTACTTGCCGGTAGTAGATTCGCTTTTGCTTGTAAGCCCGCGCTTGTCAAATTAGCAAACATCTGTTTACAACGACACTTACCATTTCCGCAAGATTTTAATGTTTTTTTCTTTTGAACATCTCAAAGGGATAAGACGTACATCAGAGTCTCTTAAAGTGTATAATAAGGTACAGTAAAAGTGTTAAACATCCATCCAAGCAAATTCTTTTCGTTTTTGATTAAAGTGTTAATGATTCAGAGTGGAAGGTTTAATCGATTTACATCCACAGCAATATAAGTAAGTCGAGCTCTTGGAGTCGCTTACGCTTACCGTTACAGCATATTTCCATAAAGGTGAGATTTTTTTTTGTTAGCCAAATGGATGAAAAAACTTGAAACTAATTTTTGAAAATCCCTAGGATTACTTGCATTTTTAAAGGCAATATTGGATTTCCGAAAGAAAAATTAACCTAAATCTGTTGAAAGTCGTGTGCCAGTGTCAAGACACGGAGGTGCTCCGCCAAATGGCGGCTAACCTCAAACATCGAGATATGAGCCCTAAAGTGTAGCGAATATAATGTAGTCAAAGCAGATTTTCATTGAAACTCTGACTGACAATAACTAAAATATACAAAATACTATTCATACTATTTCATGGTGTTGGATGGATGTAAATGTAAATGACTCAGTCTGAAATTATTCAGAAAGACAACACTAATGCCTTGGTAGGCGTAATGTAAAAAGTGAAATCTAAAAATTACTTTTGATAACTATACGTGAACTTAATTAAGTTTAAAAACTTAGCTGAAATAAAAAGAAAGCCAACATATTATGAAGTAAAATGAAGAAAATAATAATTACATTATGTAATTCATTAATTAACATTTGCTAGATCTACTTAAAATCAAACATATCCATCTAAATTACCACCTTTTGTTTATACGATCATACCTTAGAGAAAATATTTTTAACCAGAAAGCAAACTCTAGCCCTAGTCGATCGTCATCGCAAGCAGTAGAGTTTTGGAAAAAAGTAATAGAAAACACCTCAGCGAAATCGTTTGCTCTACTGAACAAACACGATCTGACTTAAGACCTTATGCTAAAATTGGTATCCTTGGCGTAGAATATCCAGACTTACTCGATAGTGGAGCTCAAGTCTCTTGTTTAGGTTCAGTCTTAGCAGAGGAAATTTGCCAGAAAATGCTCTTGCGCAAACAAGATGGAAAGGTGCAAGTAGTTTTTGGCACAGTATACTTAGAAGTACAATACAATTTGGTGGCATAAACAAAAAAATAAATTTTTTTATACATCCCACTCTGTCACAAAAAGTTATCCTAGGAATAGACTTCTGGATTAAGTTCCAAATAACGCCAAACATAGTTTCAGAGATATCACAGTCCCCTTTTAAAATTGATGAAAATACACTTCCGTTAAACTTTGAGCAACAACACCGTTTAGGTTTGAATAAAAACCGTTTTCCTAGCTTCGAAAAGAAGGCTTACGAAAAACATAGATAATGGAGTACGCCATTGAACTACAGCCAAACGTCCGTCCGATTAAACAAAGATATTTTCCTATATCTCCTGCAGTGGAAAAACTTGTTCACGCAGAAATCGATGAGATGCTCAAGTTAGGTATAATTGAGGAGTCTCCAAATAGTCCATGTTCCGGTCCGATTGTCTTGGTGGAAAAGCCGAATAAAGTCCGTCTGTGTTTAGACTCAGGAAAAGTTAATAGTGTTACCGTAAAGGACGCTTACCCCCTCCCACATATTGATGGTATTTTAAGTAGAATACCAAAAGCTAAGTTCATCAGTTCCCTTGATCTGCGACGTGCCTTTTGGCAGATTCCCGTAGCAGAAACCTCCAGAGATTACACCTGTTTTAGCGTCCCTAATCGTATGCTTTACCGATACCGCTTAATGCCCTTCGGTCTCTGCAATGCCCCACAAGCACTATGTCGCTCGATGGATCCCGTTATACCTCCTTAGTTGAAGAATCAAGTGTTTGTCTACTTAGATGAAGATTTCGACACGCACATGTTCCTTTTGTCCGAAGTTGCTCATTGTTTGACGAAAGCAGTTTTGACGATTAACGTCGAGAAAAGTAAATTTTATATAAAGGAGGTCAGATATCTCAAAACAGATCCAGATAAAATTTCCGCGGGTACCAACTACCCTGTTCCCACTAATACAAAGCAGTTAAGGCGTTTCCTGGGTATGGCTGGATGATACAGACGTTTTGTGGATAATTTTGCTGCGGTCACCACCCCGCTTACTAATTTATTAAAGAAAAGTAAAAGTTCTGACTAGCCCAAATTATGAAAAACCTTTCATTATTCACTGCGATGCCTGTAAGCTTGGCGTTGGTGCTGTTTTAGCGCAGAAAAATGACGATGGGATCGAACTCCCAATATCCTACTTTTCACAGAAGCTCAACAAGACCCAGAGTAACTATAGTGTTACAGAACTAGAGTACCTTGCTGCAATCCTTAGCCTAAAGAAATTTACAGCTTACGTTGAGGGGCAAGATTTCATCATCCTCACAGACCATGCCAGCTTGCAATGGCATATGCGCCAGACAGACCTATCCAGTCGATTAGCTCGATGGTCTCTTAAACTCCAAGGAGCATAGGAAAGAGACGCAGAATGTAGTACATGATAGTTTGTCACGACAGAATTTTGAAGATATTAATGAAATAGAAGTCCGTCCGTTAGCAGATCTTAAGTCGTCCGAGTTTTCGTCCGATGAATACAAGGAGTTAGTAAATCAAGTCCGTGATAACGAAAGCCGCTTACCGGATCTGCAAATTGTAGAAGATCGCTTATACAAACGAACCGAACATCCTGATGGAAACCCTGCACGGAAAGGAATTAAATGAAAGCTATGGATTAAAAAAACTTTAGTTGATAAAGTTATTCAAGATGCTCATTCCCCACTTAATAAATGTCATGGAGGTATAGATAAAAAATTAGAGAAACTTCGATTGAATTGGTTGCTAACGTAATGGATTATGTTAACAAGTGCGACACTTGCCGCCAAAATAAGTCGCCTAATATCACACTACGACCTCTTATAACCGCACTATACACTGTCCAACGTCCGTTTCAAAAGTTGTATATAGATTTACTTAGCCCATACCCTAGATCCAGTCAAGGCAATACCGGCATCTTAATTGTCCTTGACCATTTAACAAAATTCCCCTTATTTAAGCCCAAAAGAAATTTTAATACGTCCGCAATTTTTTGAAAGAACAAGTCTTCAGTATTTTCGGAACACCCGAAATAATTCTTAGTGACAATGGAAAGCAGTTTAAATCTTCACAATTTAATAGTTTTCTAAGCGATCGGGGGATAAAGCATGTATATACGGCCTTATACAGTCCGCAAGCAAACTAGCGAGCGTGTAAAGCGGTCAATAATAGCTGGTATTCGCGCGTACTTAAAACATGACCAGACGCAGTGGGATAAACATCTGCCTGATATAGGTGAAGCTTTACGCAGCGCTTATCACCAATCAATTGAATGTTCGCCTTATAGCGCCTTGTTTGGCCAGCAGATGTTATCCCACAGCGATGACTATCCTCTTTTGCGATCGTTGGGGGCGCTAGATGACCAACCTATTGATTGGACCGACAAACTATTGGTTATGGATAAGATCAAGCAAGCGTTCGAAAATTCGACTAAGCGGTACAATCTGCGTAGTTGCACCAAAACCTTTCGAGTAGGAGATATTGTATATAGAAGGAACTTTGTTCAAAGCGATGCAACAAAAAAATATTGTGCTAAGTTCGCACCTAAGTTTGTGAAAGCAAAGGTGGTGGCTATAAAAGGGAGTTGTTTGTATGAGTTGGAGGATGAAAATAGTTGCAAGCGAAAAATTTACCATCGTAATGATATTTTAGAAACCAAAAGCAACGCAGCTACACTTTAGTTGGGGGGTGTGTACTAGTGTAAATGCATGTTTTCAAATTAACCAGCTTTTAAACCAAAATTCTTCAATTTTAATTTGGGTATTTTTCATACTTTTGGTTTAAATTTGGATCGTAACACAAACTCACCACATCCGTCTCAGAACACTTCCCTTTATACCAGTCGATAACCAGCTTATGGAGATCGATCAAACAAGCAACCTACTTCGGATACCGGAAGGAAACTTTCTTTCTTTTTCTTCTGGACAAACTTGGAACGAGGTAAGGTCAGCAGAGATTTTTTTAGAACTTGAATTTTCGGTTTCCAACATCTTCAAACGTACGCCACAGTACAAAAAGTATTCCGTTCATTCATAATTAAAAAGTAAAAGTATAAAAAAATGTATTCCTTATTTGCTAACTTTTTCGCGAACATATCTCTGCTGACCTGAAACAAACCTCAAGCCTGGCACAATCTGGTAACATGCCTCAACGAGCATGGAAAGTGGCAGAGCCTCCTGGACACCTCTAGACGCAGCCGAAAGCAGACCCCTCATCAACCTGGTGAACGTTCTATTTCATTAATTAAATATAATTTTTATGAACACTTAAATTTATTTTTAACACATAAAATTTTTTTTTGGGAACCAAACCAAAGTTGGATTAAAGAAACTCATTTTCTAATACTGCACCCTAATTAATCAAATTAATGTATTTAGTTTTAGCTATTCTTCTACATATTTTCCTCTTTCTACAAATGAAATAAGAAAATCGAGCCATTAGGAGTAGAGAAAAAATGACAAAAGCTATTGAGTTGAATTTAGATGTGGGTGAATACATACACGCATACATATGAAGAAATCTTATTTTTTTTGGTTTCATTATAC